CCTGAGCTTTATTGACTATGCAAAAGCATTTGAATATGTGGATAACAACAAATTACGGATAACACTGTAAAGAAGGGGGATGCTAGATCACTTAATTGTGCTTAATGCTAGGTACGTACAGAGACCAAGATGCAGTCATTCAAGAACAAGGGTTGCTGCATGGTTTCAAAGCAGGAAATACGTGTGTGAGGGTTATATCCTTTCACCACATTTATTCAATCTGTACACTGAGCAGATAATCCAACCAGATGGACTACATGAAGAACATAACATCAAGATTGGAGCAAGACTCATTCATAATCTACAATATGCAGATGACACAAACTTTTTTGCTGAAAACATAGAGGACGTGAAGTAATTATTGATGAAGATCAAAGATTATCCATGCGTTGTTGGTAGTACAGTGGTTAGCACTGCTGCCTCCAAAGACTATACAGTATTTAGTATGAATTATAAAGAAACAGAGAACTTCACAACTGAGCCAATAAAATAAAACTATGAAAAATGAAAAAATCCTGATGTTTGAAAGAAAGATTTCATTTTACTTAGATCCATGGGTGTAGGCCAACGGAAATAGCAGTCAAGAGATTAAACGACTTAGCAGTCATCTTAGGGTAAAGTTCTGATATGTTGTTCATAGGGTTACTACGAGTCTTAGTTGACTTAAAGGCACCTAATGAAAACAAAAACAAGATGTCACTAATGTAACAATTGGTGTCTCCCTATCTGGAATAAAGAGAGGAAAAAAGTAAAGATGTACAGAATCAATGAGTCCAAAGGACTAATGGATCACTTGAAGCACAAGTTCAGTGACCTTGAGATCAGAAGAAATAGAAGGTGCCCCACTAACCATTCTAAAAGGGATCACAGGTTTTGAAAAAAAGAAATTAATAATAAAGACAAAAGGGATCACAGCAGAAAAACCTGGATAGAATGGGGAGGCGGGGAGAACAAAAGGTAAAAAGCATAAAAAAGACCAGATTCCTAGTCGGATAGAAACTAGTGGACCCACACAAGCCTATGATCTTTAATCACCCTTCAAACCTGGAACAAAACTAACCCCAGGGCTCCACTTTCAGCCAAACAGCAGCTAGGCTGATAAAGGTGAACAATAACACAAAGGAAACACTCACTCCTTAGGATAACTAACCACATAAGGTCAAAGAACAGCATTTGCTCAAGCATAAAGCACAGAAGACAAGAAAGGGTCGAAGCATCAATGAAAATGAAAATCACAGAAAGCAGTGGAAAGGGGATGATTATATTGTGAGTGTCATAACTAATGTTATAAAACAAATCATGTTGAAAAGTTTGAAAGTAAAACCAATTTGCTTTGTAAACTGTCACTTAAATCACAATACAAATAAATACATAATATTTACAACCTTGGAAACCCAACAGAGGGTCACCAGAGTCGGAACTGACTGGACAGTGAGTCTGATATTTTTAAAAGCCTCATGGTATCACCAGTTTCACCTGGGTAGACAGTAGCCATCATGAAATTTTAAGAGTTTTGTTTCTTTGCCTTGTTTTTAATTTCAGGACTTAGACATAAAAGGCCACAAAGATTTTTTTTAATAAACCTTACCCTGGTATCTTCACTAATATAGCCACACATGACCTTCTCATTCTTGACCCACAGCTCACCAGCTTGTGCCCTAAAAGAGAACACACATACATAAGTTATTACAAGTTTCATAACTGAACCAAGAAGAAATAGAGGCAACTCCTTATGACACACAATACTCAGAAATTAACACCCAAATGGCCAGAGAAAACTCCATGAGCAGATGACATACAACAACAAAAAATCTTCTACCTTATTAGATATGTCTAGCAAGAGATCTTAATCTGGGGATTTCAGAGACAACATACAGACCTAAACTCAACTCAAAAAAAATCATTGCTAGGGAGCTCTGGTGGCCTAGTGGCAAGAAGCTGTGCTGCAAACCTGAAAGTACAGGTTCAAATCCATCAGATGTTCTGCTGGAGAAGGACAGGAAATCTCCTCCTGTGCCAGTCCAATTCGACTCGAGAGTACACAACAAGAAAAAAACCCAAAACATTCATTGCTGTTGAGTCAGGACTATCTCATAGTTGACCCTCCAGCAGGTTTTCAGAGACTATCCATTGCAGGGGAGGAGACTGCCCATCATTCCCCCTCAAGGCAGCTGGCAGATTCAAATCAACTGCTGTCCTTATGCTGACAGTCCAACTCTTTACCCACTATACCACCAGAGCTCTGTAGAGGTCCAAGGAAGAGTTTACTGGAATCCATGATCCCATGAAAAGCCCAAGCAAAATCTTCTAGGCAAAGAAAATCTAAGAGATCATATCTTTTTGTCAGAGTCCGTGGCAGGACTTTTTGTTTGGGAGCAGTGAGATATGTTAATGGTGTGGTGAGAATGTTTGGAAAAAGGACAGTGATAACTGTGACACAATATGAAAAACATAATCAACATAGCTGAATTTTAAACACGAGGGTTGTTATATTGGTAATGTTTTGGGGGGGTGTATGTAAAAGCCTATGACATACAAAAAATTAAGAATGACTGATGACTTATTTTGCTAATCTTAGCTCTGATATAATGAGTTTTATGTGAAATAAAACCATTTTATCATCAGGATTAGGAGACAAGTAACAAGTAGTCAGGGGCAAGAGAGGTGTGGTGGCATAATAAATTTATGTTTCAGGGGAGCTCTGGTGGCCTAGTGGCAAGGAACTGCAACTACAATCCCAGAGGCGCACGGTTCGAACTCACCAGATGCTCTGCCGGGGAAGGAGGGACAATCTCCTCCTGTACCAGTCAGATCTGATTTAACGGTACACACGTACACACGTACACACACACACACACACACACACACACACACACACACACACAAATAATAATTAAAAAAATTTAAAAAAAAATAAGTTTATGTTTCTATCTAGTACCATGTTGCAGAGGACACTGATTATCCACCAGGCTGAACTAAAACAGAATTAAGGAATTTAGCACTGAAAAGGGTTAGCAAAAGCTTCTCAGCCAGGGCCTGCTTCCTGTTCTTGTACTGTCCATAGCACTAAGAATAGTTTTCTTTTTTAAATGGTTAAAGAAAAAAGAGGAAGAATATGCAAGAGAGGCCTGTGTGGTTGAAAAAGCCTAAAATATTTTCTATCAGGATCTAGTCAGAAAAAGGTTCTAAACCAATCACCTCATTTTGTAGGTGAACAGAAAGAAAGTCAAAGAAGTAAACTGGCTTGCCCTCGCTCTTCCTGCACTACAGAACTAAATGACAAATTTCCTGACTCCTGGTTTACCTCCTGAAAGACCCCAGCTTGGTATTAGATGGCATGAATCTGGTTTACATTTCTGATACTACCAGTGATTTATTTGTTAGATTATGCTTCAGTTACTTAAGATTTTTAAAAGCCTTTTTATCCTCTAAGAACTCTCAAAAATACCTTTCATAAAGAATGAGTCTTCTTATCTTTCTTTTAGGATAAGTCTTCTAGATTAATCATGATAAAACATGATAAAAGTTCTTGCAAAAGGACACAACTAGAAAACCACCAGTTTGCAACAATTATCGATAGCCAAAACCATAAGGGGTTAAGTTGATAGGAACTTTATAGTGGGGGCGGGGGAGGCTGCATAACCTGATTCCACTACTCAACTTCAACCTTACCAAAAGTAAGTCAACTAAACAGAAATAAATATGTTTGTGTACACAAAAGAAAATTCAAAAAGGAGTTGGGTTACTTAAAGGGAGAAGGATTTCTATTTTATTATAACACTTTCTGTATTATTTGTCTTAAATACTATATTGTATTGTTGGACTTCTAATATACACTTACTGTGAGCAATGAATGTGGGATTTCTATCTTGTATATGCTTAGTGTGAGCATGCTCTTGAATTAGAAAAGGAGTTAAAAACCTTTTTTGCTCTTTTTTTAAAAAAACTAAACTATTGCTACACTTTCAATGAATTAAGAGTGGTGCTGTATAGTTTAAAAGACGGGAAATTAGGAGCTGACATTTTCAGTATTTAAATCTTTTTGTTAATGTGTAAAATGAAAAAGTCTGATAAATAGCTTTTTCCTTTTTATCTAAGGTATTTTCCAATTCTAAAATTATGATTTTTTTTTTTACCTCTCTGTCTTCTGTTACAGAATACCAGGTGGCTTCAGCAACTTTTTCCATTAATCTTAAAATTCTTATAACTTGGGGTGTTGTTTCTTTGTTGTAAATACAACTATGTGATATTTTAAGCTTTGCTCTTGTGGTGGTGGTTAAGTACTGAGTTGGACTCAACTCCTAGCTAACCTTCCAGTGGATTTTCAAAGATAGTAAATCACATGGAAGATGACTGCTCATCTTTCTCCCCAGGAGCAGCTAGTGGATTCGAACCATGAGACTTTGGGGTGGCAGCACAATTCCTTACCACTTAGCCATCAGAGCTCCCTATTTTAAGCTGATATACATTTTATAACGTAGACATTCATACTGAAAGAAATGAACATTCGTTCATTTACACTGCTACGACTTGAAGTATAGTACATAAATTCTACTCCTGTCTGCTAGTTAATCAATAAGACTGATGTAATACTTACCTGATACCAGCAAATTCTACCTTCTGGGTGATATAAGCACATGTGCTGACCTAAAGCAAGGACGGAGAGCGATCAATTCAACAACTGGTCAATATTACTAAATACTACCCGAAAAGATCTCCCAACTTTCTTATTCCCTTCAACATCCCGAAGTTCAATCAAAAATGGAGTAAAAAAATATACTCCATTGGAAAACCTGGTAGGGCAGGTAAAACAGTGAGTTCCTAAGGCTTTGGGAAGTAAAAGCAATGATGACAACCATTAAAAGTAGCCAGCTTCCCAAACATAATATCAACATGTGTACACACACATATAAGCACTTCTGTAGTTATCTGAATAAAGTATCTTTTTCTCTCTCATTTTAGAAAAATTAACCTACCGTACCAAGTTGAATGTGAACAGTGCCTGTATTATGCAAATTCTACCTATCGTTTGTTTCAAAAAACATAAAATGTCCAATATGGAGAATGTTCTTCGACAACTGAATGCAGAACTGTTCCTTTTCTGAAAAAATGTTTAATAAACAATAAGGAAAATACCCCCCACGAGATACTCGTAACAGCCCAGGACCAGCTGCTACCAGCTGTGCAGCCTCAGACAATCAATTGAGCCTCAGGCTCAATTTTTGCAAATCAGAGACAATATTACCCTTGTGGATGTGACGAGTAAACAAAGTGAAGCAAAAATTTGGGGAACTACAGACTCCTACACTATTATAAAATATAACTTTCTATTAATAAAAAAATACAAATAGAAAAAAAAAACCCCTTTCTATTTCAATTTTAAATGCCCAGTAAAAATTGGGAACATTGACAAAACAAAAACTATAAAGAAAAACAAGAAAGAAAGAAGTAGCAGGTTTTTTCACCATCCTGAAGCCTATGAAGGCCTCCTGGGAACAGAATTTCTGAACAACAAAGGTGGCCGGGAGCTGGGGTGCAATGTCACTTGTGTGGCTATAAACACGGTCTCCTCTTGTTAAAACCGAATATGTGTATGCCCGAGACAAAACAGAATTTTACTTAGGTAAGAGGTGTGCTTATGTTTATAAAGCAAAAAGCAATAGAGTGACTAGTGGTGGCAAACCTCATAAAACCAGAGGAATGTCGGAAAGAGAACACGTTCCCATGGAAACAGTGATATGGTTCAGGGCAAATTTCAGGGCAACCCGCCCTCTAACGCCACTGGACACAGAATTCATGCAATACTGTATCCCACACGGATTTAAATTTATTGAAAAGTAATTAATAAAGTATGATTTTAAAAATACACAGAAAAGTTTATAATAATTGTCTGCAGATAGTGAAAACAGAAAATTATTTTATACTCTTCTTCCTATTGGAGCTTCTAAAATCAATAAGCAAAGATTACTCATATAGAGGAAAAAGTGAGATTTTTTAAAAAACAAAATCATTATCTTACCAAACTTTTCTTTAGTCGCCACATATCCCCACGGCCAATATACTGATCCTTAAAGGTTAATTCCACCAGGTCAAGGGTCACATCCTAAAAGGGGATAATCAAATAAAATTCTCTCAGCATTATTCTGCTACATTGCACCGTCCTAAGAAAGTACCCTGTCATTATGGAAAAATCCACTTACAATATAAGGAAATGATTACTGCAAAAAGCTGGAACATATATAAGGTGGAAGTCAATCAGAGAAGAAAAACTCAAGTATTAGCCATAAGTCAAAAAAATAAGCAACAGAATAGTGGTAGAACTGTACTCTATGAAAGGTGGAGAATTTTTGAGACCTGGAAAAAACAGGCAATCCCATCAAAGTTCTTACTGTTACAAGTCATACTGCAAAAGATGACTCAGCAGCAAAACCCTGATAAGACAAATTTTGTCCTTTCAAATATGACCCTCTGGTCTAGTTATAAGAAGCTGCACTGCAGTCCCAAAGGCACATGATTCAAATCCACCAGCTGCTCCACAGAAGAAGGATGGGCACTCTCTTCCCATGAGATTTACTGCCTCTGAAAACCAGCTGGAGGGTCAACTAAGCATCAGTTCCAATTCAATGGCACACAACATCAGATGATAAGTCAATAACTGTGTGGACAGAAGTTGGATCACAGCTTATGGAAAACAGTACGATTACTTGATTCTAACACTCAAACATGTTAATGAGAAAAAAAAAAGAAAAAACCAAACATGGTATTGAACTGTTTTATTTCTCTAAATAGCTTCAATGATACTTTCTGAATGATGATTTTATCTATTACCATCTCATTTCTAGAAGATGAGTGAAAAGGTCTAAAAAAAAGATTAGTACCTGAATAGAAAATATAAGAAGCCCTATTGGAACAGAGGCTAAACACTCAGCTTCTAACAAAAAGGTCAGTGGTTTGAACCCAACAGGGCCAAGATGCAGCACTCTGCTTTTGTTCCTGACTACAGCCTCAAGAGTCCTTCCTTTCAGTCAGCTCTACCTGGTGTCAAGGTAACTCAATGACAACAGTTTTTGGTTTTGGCTTTCAACAGACAATATTACATACAGTTTCTTAAACACTCACGGATAGAACCCTATTAACACAAGTTTTAGTGGGGGTTTTTTGTGGGTTTTTTTTCCCTATTAACACAAGTGTTACTCAAAAAGGGGAAAAAAAGGTGGTGAGAAATTCCTACATGACCTACACTGTTGTTGTTGTTGTTGTACACTGTCAAGCTAGAACTAACCCATAGCTGACCCTCCAGTGGGTTTTGAGAGGCAGTTAATCCCATGGGAGGAGACTGCCCCTCTTTCTCCTTCAAAGCAACTGGTCGATTTGAACCACATGCCTTTAGGCTGGCAGCGCAACTCCTTACCACTAAGCCACCAGAGCTCTCACCACAACCTACATACTACCAATAATCTAAACAACCTATATAAGCCTACCTATGTAATAATCTTATTACAAGGAGCTGTGGTGGTGTCATTGGACTGCTAACAAAAAGGTCAGGAGTTCAAATGCACCAGATGCTCCACAGGAGAAAGATAGGGAGTCCTGTCCCATAAAGATTTCCAGAATCTGAAACTTGATAAATGGTTGTCATGAGTTGGAATTGAGCCAACATACACAGTGGGTTGCGTTGAGCTTGAGTTCCACCACATAAGCTCTGAAGGCCTAGTGGCAAGTAGCTGCACTGCAATCGCGAAGGCACTCAGTTCGAGACCACCAGATGCTCTGCTCTGCGGCAGAAGGATAGGCAATCTCCTCCCATGTGATTAACTGCCTCTAAAAACCCACCAGAGGGTCAGCTATGGGTCGGTTCCAACTCGATGGTGCCCATTAACAACAAAGCAACACAAAAAGGAACTTCAACAGCACGGTGCATCACATGCTGGGCTATCACCAGAAGGCTGGTAATTCAAACACAGCCGGGCTAGAAGGGCAGGTGGCTCCCATTAAGATTTACGGCTTCAGAAACAATACCAGGTGTCGATGACTCAGAATCAACTTGACCAAGTGAAGTTTAAAACTATACAAGCAGCACCCGTGGAACTGTGATTAAAGCACTCACCTGCTAAGCTGAAAGTGAGCCGTGAGTCCACCAGGCTCTCTGAAGAAGGGAGACGAGGTGATCCACTCCGGTGAGGATTTACCATCTTGGAAACCCCAGGGGACAGTTCTGCTCTGTCCTCCAGGGTCTCTGGACCAGAAACGACTCACTGACCATAGGTTTGGTTTTGGGGTAACATTACGCAAAGCTGCCTAGGTGGCACAAACAATCCATGCTGGATAACTAACGTAAAGGTTGGAGGTCTGAATGCACCCAGTTGTAGCACTGGGAGAGACTGGCTACCTGCAGTCATGAACACCCAACAGGGCTGTTCTACTCCACAGCACAAGCACTGCAGCCTTACTTAAATGCCATCAGCTCAATGCCAATTTACCTAGTGCTTCTTTATAGCATTTGTGACTTTGGTGAATTTTTTTTCCTTAAATTGTGATTTGAGTGACAGTTTACAAAGCATATTGGTTTTTCATTCAATCATTCACATACACCTTGTTTCATAACATTAGTTTCAGAACTCACACAGTGTCTAATCAGCCCCTTACAGTATACACTGAATTCTCTTCATCCACCTATTGTCTGTTACCAATTTATTAGTTTTTATCCCTTTCTCCCTGGTAACCACCCAAGACTCTACCCATATGCCAAGCTTTCTTCAGTTTTTCATAACAACGGTCTCTGTTCATAATTTGCCCTTTTGTGTTTAGCAGCCTAATCTTGAGGGAGGGTGTTAATCACTCAAAAAAGATATTCAAATGGAGTACAAGGGCCCACCTTGGGGTCGACCACGTTCACATAGACATCCTGGTAAGGGCGAAGCCTGAACACTTGAGTCACTGTTTGGTCCACACTGATAGTTTCTAAAAGAAAGAAAAAATTGTGATCAGATAACACCTTGGAGATTTAGATTGTTGTCGTTACGTGCCCTCGAGTTGCTTGTGACTCATAGTGACCCCATGTACAATAGCCCTGAGACCTGCTCTATCCTGTGCCAACTTTACTGTCTCTGACACACCTATCCTCTTTATCTCAGTCACTGAATCAATCCATCTCATTGATGGCTGATACTCTGAATATTGAGACATTTAATAAGTAATGCAATGGATCATCTGCCATCCATAAAATATATATATATTCTTTGACTTCCAGGTACTTGCAATTGGGAGAGTTCCCTGCTCTTCAAGTGAAACAACGAATCGAAATTAGACCAAAGCATAAGCAGTTAAAATTAAGAAAGAAGAAAAAAAATTTTAAAAGCAACATAAGATAATTCACAGAGCTGTGAAAATTTAAAAGGCAAAGAGTTTTTCTTGCTTGGCATTGAAGGGAGAAGGGGTGGTTAACAAATTTTTCAGCAAGTCCTTGAGTACGATTAGTAAGAAACAAACAGTGGCAGGAGATGCGATAAAGGACACTGAGGATTTGGATTTATAGAAATCTTTTCTATTTACTGTGCTAATATCCGTTTTGCTTTTAATTTTATTATTTTTGGGGGGTTTTCAATTCACATGTGTTTCTCATGGTCACTACCATGCATTGTGCCTTACAAAGATGTATAGAAATCTTAACTGTTAAAGATTTTGGTTTTATAACATTTTTCCCCATCAAAACTGAAAAATAAAGGAGTAGCTGACATCAAAGTCTTACAGTTTAAAACCAAAAGTTAGAGGGTAATTTTTTTCCTCCTCTTCCTAAGGACTTTTTGAAGGGAGCTCTGGTGGCGAAGTGTGTAGGGAGCTGCACTGCTAACGGAAAGGTGGCACCTCTCTGGCGGTTCAAATCCACCTGGAGAAAAACAGGCATTTCCTCCCCTGACATTTACAGTCTCCAAAAAACAGCAGAAGGCTTAGCTATAAACTGGTCCCAACTCAACAGTAACAAATTTTTCATTTGTAAGTATCTTTAAGGAATCATAGTATTGGTTATTAATTAATGCTTTGGTTCTCTGATCAATGGAATTTGCATCCAGAATGTATAATACCATGAAGGTTCCTCTACCTACTGTTCAGGCAGTCTGATACTAAATTTCCTCACCACTCAAGGCTTATTTGGGATATAGAGAAAGTTCCTGGAAACTGTATCAGACAGTCACCTTGATGTTTATTTATGATCCGTCTTTGCCCCGCTCAAAGAAAACATTCAATAAATATTCTGTGGAAACTATCATATTTAGGACCCTCTCTCTGTGCTGCCAACAGGGGCTGGGTTTTATTTTCTGCTTTATTTTTTTACTTCAGCTGTGGGAAGAATATCGTTCATGAAGAATGCAAAAAGTCATTAATTACAATGAAAGAAGAAGAAAAAACACACCAAAATGGATGTCAGAAGAGACTCTGAATATTGCACTAGAGCACTGAGAAGCCAAAACAAAGGGAAGACATCAAGAAGTTAAGGAGCTGAATAGAAGATTTAAAAGTGCTGCTCAAGAAGACAAGGCAAAATATTACAATAAAATGTGCAAGGAGCTGGAGCCAGAAAATCAAAAGAGCCAAACTCAGCATTTCTTAAGCTGAAAGAACTAAAGCCCCAAGTTGCAATGCTTAAGAATGCTATGTGCATATATCACCCAATTGCACAAAGCAAATTTGGAGGGGGGGGGGAAAGAATGCTATGTGCAGAATACTGAATGATTCCGAAAGCATTAAAAGAAGATGGAAGGAGTATACAGAGTCTTTGTACCAAAAAGAATTGGCTGAAACAGAAGAACTTCAAGAAACAACATATCATCAAGAGACAGTGGTGATGAAGGAGGAAGTGCAGACTGCTCTGAAGGACTTGGCAAAAAATTAAGACCCAAGAATTGATGGAATACCAATTGTCATATTTCAGCAAACTAAATGCTGCCTTGGAGGTGCTCACTAAGTTGTGCCAAGAAATCTGGAGGACCAACTACTTGGCCAACTGACTGGAAAAGATCCACATTTATTCCTATTCCAAAAAAAAGGTGACCAGAGTGTGGAAATTATTGAACAATATTCTAGGTGGTACAGCACTGGTCTGTCCATCTGCTGTACAGAGGTAACTCATGGTTGCTGTGATGCTGAACACTGTGACCCTAATGTGTCAAGTGCAATAATGATCGCTCATGATGGATAGTGTTTGGTGGAGCTCCCCAATTAAAACAAGCTTGGAAGCAGAAGTGGCAACTGCTTCCAAAATAGCTTGCCTCTGGAAACTCTATGAACCTGGAGAAATGATGAGTTATAAAAGTGTTCAGGTCTTTCGTTCATAGGGTCGTTATGAGTCACCTACGACTTGACAGCACTTAACAACATCACTAATATCACACACTAGCAAAATCCTGCTGAAGATTATCCAGAAAAGACTTGAACAGTACAATGACAGAGAACTACCAAAAATACACGCTGGGTTTAGAAGAGATCATGTCAGTAGGGGCATTACTGCCAATGTCAGATGGATCTTGGCAGAAAGCAGAAGAATGTGTGTTTCATTGACTGTGCAAAGGCATTTGACTGTGTGGATCACAATAAATTGTGGCTAACCTTGAGGAAAATGGGAATCTCAGAACACTTGATCTTGCTTATACGAAACCTATACTTGGACCAAGAAGCAGTCCTCAGAACAGAGCAAGGAAACACTACATGGTTCAAAATCAGGAAAGCAGTGCATCAGGGATGCATCTTGTCCCCATGTCTTTTCAATCTGTATGCAGAACAGATCATTCAGGAAGCAGGGCTGTGGCATCAAGATTGGAGGAAGACTCATTAATAACCTATGATATGCAAATGACACAACCTTGCTTGCTGAAACTGAAGAACACTTGAAGCACTTTCTGCAAAAGGTCAAGAACTGTAGTCTTCAATATGAATTGAAGCTCAACATCAAAAAAACACAGGTTCTCACTGCTGGGCCAATTGGCAGCACCATAATAGATGAAGAAGAGACTGAGGTTGTTACCAATTACAGCTTGCTTGAATCCACAATCAACACTCTTTACACCAGCAGTCAGGAAATCAAAAGACTAATTTCACTGGGAAAATCTGCTGTCATGGACCTCTCCAGAGTGTTGAAGAGCAATGATTTCAGTCTAGTTACAAAGGTGCCCCTAATCCAGGCCACGGTCTTCTCAATTACTGGTTATGCTCCAGAGAGCTGAACAATAACTAAGGATGACAGAAGAAGACTATATATCTTCGAGTTGTGGAGAAGAGTTTTGAACATACCATGGACTGCCAAGAAAACAAATCAGTCTGTCTTGGAGAGGGTGAAACCAAGTCTCTCCCTGAAGGATAGGATTTTGAAACTCCACCTCACTTACTTTGGGCACGTGGCCAGAAGAAAGCAGTCCTTTGAGAAGGACATCATGCTCGCAAGGGTGGAGGGACAGAGCAGGAGAGAAAGACCCTGGATGAGATGGATTGATACAATAACTGGGGCAATGGGCGTTGGTGTGTCAGAATTAGTGAAACTGGCTCAGAACAGGGCAGGGTTCAGAGCTGCCGTACACAGGATCGTTATGCATCGCAGGCAACTCAATGGCACATAACAACAATAACATACTATAACAGGTTTGGAAGCCTCTGGAAACACAATGAACTTTGATAAATGTTACTAATTGTAGAGGGGCTTCAGGCCTTTTGTTCATAGGGTCGCTATGAGTCGACTCAAAGGCAATCAACAATAACAGCAACATGAAGCTTCACATAATCAAATAATTTTCCAAAGGAAGTCTTAAATCAAGATGGTTTCTTCAATGCCCTCAAGATACTGACAGTAAGGCCTAACACTTAGAGAGGAGACAAAACTGGATAAGAGCAGTATTACGACTTCATCACCTAAGATTGCAGAGAGAGGTTTCTTGTCCCTTCTGGGGAGGTGAAATGTAATTGTCTCAAAGCGAAATGGGAACCTTACCTTTCTGTAAATCTTCTTTAAGGGACTTGACCTGCAGGAGCAGAGGGCTGGAAAAGGAAGCAACAAAGTAGACACTTTCAGGTCTAAGAAGTTTTCCATGCAACCATTCATACACAAGCATTTCGTCTTAACGGCGTCAATGATAACATCCACAATAGAACGGGGTTGTTCTTAAGTACGATTGAGTCAGACGGATCCATAGCTGACTCTAATGGGTTTTCAGAAGCAGTGAGTTAATCATACGGGAGGAGACTGCTCTATACTTTCTCCAATTCCTCCCCATGACTGTTACTGTATTATTTTTTAAAATTCTTTTATTGTGCTCAACTTCTTCTTTTTAAAGAGAAACAATGGATTTCTTTTACATTTGTATTGTTTTTCTCAAGTCTAGTAGCCCAGTAGCAAGAGGCTGCACTGCAATCCCGAAGGCATGCAGTTCCAATCCACCAGCTGCTCCGCAGGAGAAATGTGGAGCCCTCTCCTCTCACGTGATTCACAGCCTCTGTAGACCCGCTGGAGGATCAGCGGTGAGTCAACTCCAACGTACCAGCACGTGACAACAGTCCAATCTACAACCCACAACATAGTGGGCTCACTAGCAATCAGGAGCAGCTTTGAATATGTTGGCCCAAAGATAGTCAGTTATCCTGCCTTTCAAGTGCCTTAGCTTAAATATCTTCTGGCAGCAGTCACTGTTAGGTGCCATCGAGCATGGCTCAGTCACACTATGAATAGATATGATCCCTGCCCTTTCCTGGGCCATGCTCATCATGTCTGATGTACTCTAGCCCATTGCTGCAGTCACTGTGTCACTCCACCTGGTTGAGGGTCTTCTCTTACACTGTCCCTCCACCTTTCCCAGGCATGATGTCCCTCTTCAAGAATAGCCTCTCCTAACAACATACCCAAAGTATGTGAGACAAAGCTTTTCTAATCTTTGCCTCCAAAGAGCACACTGGCTGCACTTTCTCCAAGATGTATTTGTTGTTCTTTTGGCAGTCCATGAGATAGTCAGCACTCATCTCCAACACCACAGCTCAAAGGCAGTAATTCTTCCATCATCTTTACTCATTGTCTAGCTCTCAGTGACTGAAAAGACCATGGCCTGAATCAGGTACATCTTGGTCCTCAAACTGACACTGTTCCTTCTCAGCGACTTGGAGAGGTCCCTAACTGCACTTTCCCAGTGCACTCCGTCTCCTGATGTCCTGACTGCTGCTGTCTCACTCCCTTGATCCTAGCAAGTCACTCACCTGTACTCATCATTGGGGTGTGCAATCTCCACAATGTCGCCAAGCTTGATGTGAGGAAATACTTTCGGGTTCACCACCAGCTCATCATCTAAAAGACAATTCAGTGATCTCAAGCAGAAAATAAGAGTCACTTGGATTTCAGGGAGGCTGCGTATTCTCACTTCAGGTCCAACCTACCGTATCCTGTTATTACTACCTTTACTGATAGATAAGCTTCCATTTTCAACTGAGATTTAGAAGAACTTAAAAGACTCAGATGGGACTGCAAAGCTAGTCAACAGTTGAGGGGGGATATTGTTGTCAGAGCCCATGGTCTTTCGGCTACTCCACTGTGTATTTGGGGATCAGTCCCCCCCAGGAGAGCCCTTTACTTCCTCAAACACAATGTGGATGCCATATATCAAGATACCAACTAAATGGCCTGAGTCCCACCGTCACAATACAATCCCTTACATAACTACTATGTTCAAAGAATTTGTCCAAATTCTGCCTCAAGGTGACCCTCACATGAAATCTTAGATTTAACAGAAGTCGAGGAAATGACCTAGGAGACCAAGACAGACTATTACCTAGTCCAGAACTCTTAACTGAAACCCCCCACCTTTCTCACGCTGTTTCCAAAGTCACGCCAAATAAGACAGTCTGGTCTCTGCAGGGCAGAACCTGACCAGGGCAAATTATCGAGACTCAATTCCTATTAGGCTCACATAAGACTCTCAACAAAATAGAGAAGAAATGGTTGAATATGTTTACCCCTTTGTCATCAACTCAGTAACTTTCAAATATACCAAAATGAAAACCTGAAGAGACTGAATGACTGCTTCAATTTTAATTTTAGGAAAAAAACCTGGTCTTCAATTATGGTAGGACTGGGACAAACAACCACATCCAGATTTCAAAGGAGCCCTGCTGGCACAGTGGACTGTGAACCAGAGGTCAGTGATTTGAATCCACAAGCCATTTTGCAGGCAAAAGGTGAGGTGATCAGTTTCCATAAATATTTTCAGCCTTGGAAACCCCATGGGGCAATTCTTCTCTGTTCTCTAGGGTCACTTTGGGTTGAAATGGACTCAAAGTCAGGACAGTCATATTTCAAAAACTGACAAAGGAGATTAATCAGAACTGGCTTTGACAAGCACTGTGGCAACTGGACAATTAAAACAGACATTTGAGGGGGGAGAAGAAAGAACTGGGGAGGAGGGTAGAGAAAACAGTGCAACAATGAATGAATGAGAACCCAAAATCTCTGTAAATGTTCATTAAAACTAATAAAATTTAATAATAATTTTTTAAAAAACAAATATAATGAATAAGACAAAACAAAATAAAAAAACCTATTGCCATCAAATCTATTCCGATTCATGGCAACTCCACACACTTCAGAGCCCCAGTTGTTTCAGAGGAATTTCTTGCCTAGAATCTTTACAGGAATAGGTCACCAGGCCTTTTTTCCGTGATGCCCAAGAGTGGATTCAAACCACCCATCTTTTTTGGGTGGTTTTTTTTTTTTCTGAAATTTTATTACTTTCTCTTAAAGGGTTTAAAGTGAAACAGAGGTAAACGGAGAGCTAAGGAGAAAGGGAGGGGTTCACCTGCACCAAGCACAGAGACCAGAGGGGGTTAGATCTTTAAATGACCTCCCTCCCACCGAGAGAGGAAGCATCAGGAGACAGGCCCAGAGAGTCAGAGAAGAAGATGAAAGAACTTGCCTGCTACCTGGCAGGTAACCGGAGAGAAATGGTCACTTAAAAACAGTCACTTCTGACTCACCAGATCTGAAGAGTGCAGATCTCAGCGGGACCTCCAGGATGAAACGCACTAAAAGCAGAGTTCTCTTTTATGTCTTCACCACTCGCTATTATTGCCCACAAAGGGGTGAGCTGAGGTGACTGTGGTTAAGTGAACTGACATGTACACAGCAGCAATTTAGCAAAACAAGTGAAAAAGATTTAAGACAATATAATACAGGCATAGTACAATCATTCTGGGAGGCAGTCTGGCGCTTCTTCAAAAACCTTAACATAGAAATTCTGTATGACCCAGCTATTCCACTGCTTGGAATATACCCTGAGAAAATGAGAACTGAGGCACAGAGACTTGGACATCAATGCTCACAGCAGCATTATTCACCATCACAAGAACATGGAAACAGCCCAGATATCCAACCACAATCGAACGGATTGAGGAATTATGGTACATTCACACAATGAAATACTATGCAGCACGCAGGAACAATGATTTTGTAAATCACTACCTAGCTTGGGAGGGACTTGAGAGCATTATGCTGAGTGAACTAACTCAGTCCCATAAAGACAAATGCTGTATAAGACCATTACTGTAGAACATGTATGAGGATCCAAGGAGAGGGGGGAACAGAGGGGCAATGATGGGCGGGGGTTCATCATCAAGGTGGAGGGCATGGGTGAAGGAAAAGGAAAGATCCAGTGTGAAAACTGATGTATACAAACTTTGTAAATAAACCAGAATAAAATAATAATTCTTTTTTTTCTTTTCTTGTTGTGTAATAAAATAATTTAAACAAATAAATAAAATCCAAACCACAGGCATAGCTAGTGAAGACTACGCCAAAGAGTCAAAGTGAGAAAGAAAAGAAAAAAGCAGGCAAGGACCCCCCCCCCCCAGAAAGACAAGGGTGAAGCCAAACCTTACAACAGCATGCTGTCAGCAGACAAAGAGAGAAAGGAGTGGAGCGTCACTAATCTTTAGGTCAGTAGCCCAGCAGAGGTGGTACTATACAGGGAGGGGCCTTAATGTAATGAGCTGGGGAGATGGGGGGGGCCGGCAGGAGGAAACCCAATACACCAAATCTTTGCCATCAAGTCAATTTTGACTAATAACAACCTGATATACCACAGGTAGAAAATGAGGATTTCCAAGGCTGGAGATCTTTAAGGAAAGAGATTGTCAATTATCTCTTATAATGTAGCTGGTGGGGTCAACCAACCAACCTTTTGTTAAGGAGCTGAGTGTTTAACCACTGAGTCACCAGGGCTCCTAATATAAATGGTGGTGGTGGTGGTGGTTGTTGTTAGGTGCCATCAAGTATGACTCATAGTAACCCTATGAACAGCCATCCTGAAATCTGCTCTATCCTGTGCCACCATCCTCATCAACTCTGAGACACTAGAAAATCAATGTTGTTGCTGTTGTTGTTATGTGCCATCAAGTCACCTGCGAACGACAGGTGACCCCGTATATAGCAGCTCTGAAGCCTGCCTTGTCCTGAGCCACTCTCACTGACTCTGACACACCTACCCCCAGTGCCCCAGTTACTGTTATCAATCCATCTACCCAACAAAAATTCAGCCTTGGAAAGCCAAGCACTGAGTTAATACCCTAATCTTCACATATTTCATCCTGCTTCATTTTATCATTTTTGGGTTGTGTATCTCTTTCATCAAGCTAAGAGTTCTTTAGGGACAAGGGACCTTGTGTTCATCTTTATATTTGAAACAGGTATGATATAAATATCTATTTGTTGGTGTGTTTTTGTTATTTTCTTACATTTCTGCAGAAAAATGAATACAGTCCCAAGCTTCATTTGTCTGGTATACACTAAAACGTGATTATACATTATATATACTACATAGACAGTTATCTTTGTTCTTTTACCTTTCTCCCTGAAAGTTATTTCTGTTGTCTCTTTTTTAATCTGTCTCTTCGTATATTAGGTACCAAAACATACAAAATACAGTTACAGACTACATTTTAGCAAGAGCTACGTTTTACATGTAGCTACAATTGATATACTTTTTTTTTTTTTTAAATTTTTTTTTTCTGTGCGTGTACCGTCAAATCAGATCTGACTGGTACAGGAGGATATTGCGCCTCCTTCTCCGGCAGAGCGTCTGGTGGATTCGAACCGTGTTCCTCTGGGATTGCAGTGCAGCTTCTTGCCACTAGGCCACCAGAGCTCCCCACAATTGATATACCTTGATTGCAATAACTGTAATAGTTACTATCTTAAGGACAAGCCTGGCATTGCTAAATGCTTTCCATGCATCAGTCACCTTACTTAATTCTAAAAGCACTCTATGAAGGTTTTTGTTGTTGTTGTTGTTTTTGTGTGCCGTCGAGTCAGATCTGACATAGGAGGAGATTGTCCCTCCTTCTCCAGCAGAGCATCTGGTGGATTCAAACCACGTGCCTTCAAAGCACTTTATGATATAGATACTACTTTACTGTGTTGATAATTCTAGTTCCTGATGATGCAAAAAAGTTTCTTAAAAAAGGAAAACTTACATCATATTACAAAGTACCTAAGGAGCTCTGTTACATATAGGATCGTTATGAACTAGTCGCTAGCACCTAGTAACAAGAATAACAACAAAAGAGCCCTGGTAGAGCTGTGTCCAAGCACTTGGCACATAACGAACAGGCCAGCCATTTAAACTCACCAGTAACTTTGTAGGAAAAGATATAGACACCTGCTTCCTTTAACATTACAGTGTTGGAAATCCTAGGAGGTAGGTCCCCTCTGTCTATAGCTATCATAAGTCAGAATGAAGTCGATGGGAATAGGTTTTAGGTTTGGATGTCCCTCCCTATTCTGTATTTGTATTGCCTCTCAGTGACTAGAAAAAACATAGAAACTATTCTAAAGTTCCTGCGTTAGCAACTACAGCAAGTAAGGGGGCTTGCTCAAGGTGGTGAGGAAAGTTAGAGGCAGGACCAAGACTCAGATCCTGGCTTCCAACTCAAGAATTTGAGAACAGCATGCTCTGTTTGGTCCCCTCTCACCACACCTGGGAGGTGGCCAGAGGCTGCAGCTATGGTCACACCTGTCTCTTGAACACCTAGAATACTCCTTTGTCAATGAATGCAAAAGCTGTAAATGTCATTTCATTAAACGTCCAATTCAGTGCTGGGACTGAAATTTTACACTTGCCAAGGTGTAATAAGCAAAAACCTGCATACGCAAAGGGCAGGAAATGAGAGGCCGTCACAGTGGTCCTACAAAGTCAGGATGGGAATGCTTGTAGTAGGGGCCTCTCTAGTCGAGCCACCCTCCCTGTGACTACAGCATGCTGGGCGCTTCACTCAGTTCTGATGTCGGTGTAACCCCGATTGCCAACACAGTCAGGGTGCTATTTTCCAGGCACTGGACACACAAGAGACCCCGTCCACTCACATAAGAGCCCAAAGAGCAATCAATACTGACCGCTGCCCCCAAAGCCCTTCTTGTGGATGACGAGTTTGTAGACCTTTGTTGTTCTCATCCTGTATTGTTGTTTCCTTCAGCTGATTGAATCCTGGAGAGAAGTCATCGTGCCTCCCTGCCATCGACAAACAAACAAAAAGGCTGGTGGTTGTTACAGTGTGGTTGAGTTGCCTGTGACTCATAGTGACTGTATGCACAGCCTGCCCTGTCCTGAGCCCGTCTCACTGACTCCGACACATCTACCCCCATTACCCTGGTCACTACATCAATCCGTCTCACCCGGGGTCTTCCTCTCCTGCTGTGTCCCTCCACCCTTCTGAGCATGATGTCCTTCTCCAAGGATCAGTCCCTCCTGGCCACATGCCCAAAGTATGTGAGATGCAGCTTCAAAATCCTAGCCTCCAAGGAGAAATCGTTTCGATGTGAGGTCAGTAAAAACACTCAATTGAGAGGTACCATTATCCCTTGGATTAAATCAGTATTGGGATCACAGAGTGGGATGAAGAACGAACAAAAAAAATCCAAGAAAATGAAGAAACCGAAGCCAATTTGGGTCAGTGTCCAACATTCCTTCCATCACATCCCTAAAGGAAAAGATGGGCAGGTAAGTGGGGCTGTCATCCTCTCGTGTCCATCTAAACCTAGAACACCTGTTTATTTAAAAGGACGTAAAATGGATTCGTCCATTCATTCCGTCCATGACGAAAGTGAGGATCAGAGAGGGCAGGGGACTTGGCCAAGGTCACTCGAAGATTAGGATCATGTCCACTGTCCACGTTTCGCCGTCAACATCCCGGCAGGGCAATTGCAAAGGGGACAAGCAGAGATTTAATCGCTGAACCTCCATTTGCATACATTCTTAGCGGATCTTCCTCCCCAGCACCCCCAACACCAACCTGATTTCATTACAGAGGTTGCTAAGACTCAGAGAGGGGCGAGCTCGAACCCCCGGCCGCGGCCCTCCCTGCACGCCCCGGAGCCGGCTCCCAGGAGCGGGCAAGGGACACTCACCGGCGGCTCCGGGGTCTCGAGGGCCAGACAGTCGGCGGGGGCCGCGCACCTCCCCAGCCGGCTGCTGGCCCCAAGCCCGAGTCGCCCGCCGGCCCGCCGCGGTCACCAGCCACCGAGCGCTCACCTGAGAACCCGCGCCGCTCCGGTGGCTCCACCCCGGGGCCCGGCCCCCTTCCCGCCCACCCGGCATGGGCCGCTCTAGCCCGGCCTCCGCTGCGTCTCGGTGACCGCGCCACTTCCTCATCCGGGGCTCGCGCAGGGGCGTGGCGTCGGGCGCGGCCCGGACGCTCGGGTCACTGCTCCGCTGGTCGCAGCGTGCTGGCTCGCTGCCCGCGCGCCCTTTCCGGACGAAATCTATTCCCTCCCGGACTTTTCCAAAGAGAATCTTCGTCCCACACTTTGGTGGTCGTCACCTAGCGCCGTTTTGGTGCGCCTTCCCCGGAGCTCAGCCCGTTTCTTGTTGCACAGTGAAATTAATCATCAGGGGAACTGCTGGGCGCAAGAAGTTTCCGAGAGCACTTTGGTAAAACGCGAGAGTAAGCACGTGCAACTTAGGGACCTGGTAGGAGACTTCCACTTTGGAGGACTTTACAAACCCTGCCTTTAGGGTAGCAGTGCAACTCCCTACGAACAACTAGTCACTAGATCTGAATGTACTGTTGGATTCATAGCGACTCTGAGCAACTGATCTGAACCTTGCCCTCTCCTGGGACATCCTCATGCTGGAGGCCATTGTTAAAGTCACTGAGTCACTTGTCCTTGAGGATCATCGCCTCTTTCACTCACTCTCACCTTCCCCAGTATATCTTTTCCAAGGACTAGCCCCTCCTGATAATATACCCAAAGCTCTCTTATTGTTACCTGCCTCTGAGCAGACTGAGTCATAGCAACCCTATGGACAACGGATCTGAACCCTGCCCTGTCTTGTACCGTTATCATTTTTTTTTAATTTTTTTTTGTTGTTGTTGTACCGTTATCATAATCTACGAAAAACCTGAGCCCGTTTTTACAGTCACTGTGTCACCTTCATCTTGTTGAAGGTCTTCCTCTCTTGTGCTGACCTTCCACCGTTCCAACCGTGATGTCTTCTTCCAAGGACTGATCTATCCTAACATGCCCAAAGTATATATAGGAGACAAAACTTCACCTTCCTTACCTCCATGGAGCACCCTGGTTGCACTTTTCGCAAGAAACTTGTTTATTCTTTTGGCAGCCCATGGGATATTCAGTACTCTTCTCCAGCACCGTAATTCAAGTTGTAAGTGAATCCTAGTTGACCCTCCAACCGATTTTCAGAAGCTGTACAGCACATGGGAACAGATTGTCCTACAGAGTAGCTGGTATACTTGAACTCCCTGACCTTGAGCTGGTAGCACAACTCCTTACCAGAGGGTGTATATGCAGTAAGTTAAAACAAACAAATGCTAAAAAAAAATGCCCAGTCCCACTTAGACCTCTCACTGATAGAATTATCTTAAAGATGTAAAAAGTGTTCTCTATGCAGGAAAATTAATTTCAAATGCCAGTTTATAGTAAGGTGTCATTGTATGCATAGAAACACATGGGAAATCAATCTCAAGAGTTTATAGGGTGCGTTGACCCCTTACATCCCAAATATCAGTGGTGGACAAGCTTAAATGTAAGGGTGAGTGGTTGGATTTTTCTTTCAAAAAGTTGATTCTCAGGGAGGTCTGGTTGCCTAGTAGCAAGAAACTGCTCTGCAATCTCAAAGAAAAGCCACAAGATGCTCCGCTGGAGAAGGTGGGGCAATCTCCTCTGCCAGTCGGATCTGATTCAACAACAACAACAAAGAGACACAGGAATGGCTGTATACTCTGGTGACTCTGTGGCTGCACCGACCTTGCTATTGGCTCAGGGTTTTGGGGGTTTTTTTGGGTTTTTTTTTTAAATTTAGGTTGTTTATTTTTCATTTCAATAAACATCTACAGAGATTTTGGGATTCCATTCATTCATTGTTGCACCCTTCTCCCCGCACAAACCCCTCCCCCTGGCTCAGTTTTTTAAAAAGTTGATTCTCTGCATAGAAAGATGTGCAAATGAGGTGCAAAATAT